TTCCTTTGGTTATTATAATGTTGTTTGTGGTATGTTGAATTTGTGTAATGAACTGCTGTTTTCCTCTGTTCAATGTTGGTATTACTGATGATGTCCATTAGAATTCCGCCTAGCATTTACGTTACTCTTCCAATTTCCTCCTACCTAATCTTGGGCCTGGTTAGTCAACTATCCTTTTGGTTCAATTTTGGTATCTCATTATACATAATGGTCAATATTACATCAGACTTGCGATAATATTGCGATTGACTTGTTTGTCTAAAATTGTCTAATCGTTAATACATCTCTTTTGTAATACAATCTCCCTTATCTCCTGCCCTTGTGCCAATGTCAGATTTTGTTAATGTCGCTGTTGAGTTGTGATGGTGATGAATAATTACATTCCTGAACATAATGCCAAATATTTACATTCTAACATCAAACATCAATGTCAATATTCACCTCCTGTTATCAATGGAATATGATGTAGATATTAACAAAGTTGTTAGTATTGTTGCTTGTTAATGTAGAGCACCTAATCTTGGATGGTTGTCAACCCTTTTTTGGTTCAATCTGAATTTTATTGTACATAATGTCAATATTTACATCAGATTGTTAGATATTGATAATGACTACAAACCGATGGTAAGCCTTACATCAATTTGTACACATCTTCCACAATCATTATACACACCTAAATTTCAAATTCTAACAATAACAACTTTGTATTTTTAGGGTGGATTATGGGCCTGCAGTGTGTTACATCATCAGGGCACATGTATGCTGTGAGGAAATTGTTGACAACCTTAATCGCTTTGAATTGTGTCGAATAAGAGACTCATTATACACATTTTTCTGAATCACACAAAGACAGTGCAATATGAAAACCTATAGGTGGGGGTGTCTACTTATAATTGTTATCCATAACTGTTATCCACATTTGAGACAATTTAGTATCAACAGTTTTGACATATTGGAGCAGACTAGCTTAAGTGTAAATCAATTCTGTATCAATGCTTGTACTCCAATTTTTCATTCAATATATGTATATGCATTTTGAGGCCTATTTCGTGTCGATCATTCACATGGATGTGAATATTACTTAAAATATTATTGTAACACAATGTGACTTATGTGAATATCATATTTCTTAGCACATAAGTGAATATTCGCAGCAAATAATTTGCTGATGTTAATAGTTACAAATGATGTGAATATTCACATCATATGTTTTTATGTTGTAAATGGTAACAGGCATGTCAACATTCACACCGCGCCCATGCATACATCATAATATACACAACAACATCCCGTTTTGCTATCAGAAAACGCTCACAATGACAATTCGTAATATAAATCTGAATATTCACATCAAATGATTTGGTAATGTGAATCATTACAATGATATAAATATTCATGTTAACTACTTTGATGCTGTCAGTGGTAACAAGAATGTGAATATTCACATCAAATAGCATATTGCAGATGATGTGAATATTCACATCATATGTTTTCATATTGTAAATGGTAACAGACATGTCCATATTCACACCGCGCCCATGCATGCATCATAATATACACAACAACATCCCGTTTTGCTAGCAAAAAACACTCACAATGACAATTCATAATACAAATCTGAATATTCACATAAATGATTTGGTAATGTGTTGGTAATGTGAATGGTTATAGTGATATAAATATTTATGTTAACTACTTTGATACTGTCAATGGTAACAAGAATGTGAATATTCATATCACACACATGTATGCCTCACAATATACATGACCGGGAAAAACCGATATCCCCATATAACCAACCAAAATTTAATTTAGATAATGATGTTGAAAGCAAGAAATAGATCATACAATCATTCATATACATTCACATTCTTAATGCGATGTGAATATTCACCACATTCAAAAAAATAGATCCATAACTCAACCACATAACCAACCAAAATCTATAACCCCATACAACCAAAAAAAACTTACATGCCCATTAATTCTAGAAAATGAAATTGGAAGCAAAAAACAGAACATACAACCCTTCATATAAATCCAATCACAAATGACATGCATCCATTACATACTAACCTTAAGACAGTGTAATCAAATAGAGCACAATATTCGTCTTCTTCAAACAGAGCACTACTTGTTCTCTTCTTTGATCAATATTTAACTTCGCAACAATGTAAACAAACAGAGCACACTATTTGTCTTCTTCAAACATAAGAGAAACCCTAACACTATCAAGAATCACACAGCACATCAATTCACAATGACATTGAACCTACATAACAACCAACGTGGGGAACTGCCAAAACATAATTATAGTATTTATTTTTTGCTGTGTAATATATAACAATATTAAATATAAGGGTATAATAGTTTAAAAAAATAGTGTAAAATAAGAAAAAGGACTTTATAGAATAAAACTATAAATACATAGGAATATAAATTTCTTTCATGGACTTCTTGGGTTAAAACACTCCTAAATGGGATTTATCAATAAAAATCCCATTTAAATTTGTCATGGTTATAATAGTAGGCAATCGCGATTGGTAGCTCGAAATCAACACGGCTCGAATGGCCCGAGTCCAAACGACGTTGTTTTCGATTTTTTTTTTTTTTTTGCTCTTTGAAGATGAAGAACAGAGAGAGAAAGAGGAAGCTGGGTTCATCTTCATCAACAACAACACAGAGAGAGGAACAGAGTTCATTTTCATCATCAACAACACAGAGATCTTCATTAATATCAACAGATCTTCATTATTTTCAGTTAATTTACAAGTTCGTCAAAGTAAAGGGGCTTGCGTTTTTCTAGTTTGGGCTTGCGTGTTTCATTATTTTTCTGTAAGATCTTCAGACAAAATTAAAATTAGTAAACTCTTTATAAACATGCAAGCCCACAAATTCACGCTTTATTTTTTTTTTCGTTGTTTTTCTGAAGACAAAGAAGAAGGGAGAAGAAGAAGAAGGGTCTGCTACGCTGGGTCTGCAGATCTTGTTCATCATCTTCATCAACATCAACATCAACATCAACATCAACAAATTACAACAACAACATCATCATCTTCAACATCATCATCATCTTCATCAACAAAAAAAAAAAAAAAACTTGGTCTTCAGATCCAGATCAACATTATCATCATCAATAATTTTTTTTTTCCAGATCTAGATCTACTTAGAAAAAAAAAAAAGTTTGAAAGAGGAGATCAGGCCGTCGATCGTCGCCACCATCACCAACCGCCACCATCGGGCCGTCTTCTCTCCTCTCTTTTCTTTCCTCTTTGTCTGTGTTTGAAGGAATGAAAGGAAAGAATGAAAAGGAAAGAAAAAAAAAAAAAAAAAACACTTTCGGGCCATTCGAGGCGGACAAAATTTGAGTTACGAGTCATTTTTGTAATAATAGGTGTTTGTCTCCTCAAAAAAGTCTTCCCATAATTTTTAACAATTCTTTATTTTCCAAGCCACTTCAACTTATATAAATTCAACACCAAGCCTCTTTCTCCCAGTATCTCTCCCATTCATTCATTCAATGAATCATTCTCTCCCAAAATGGAACACTTGAGACCTTTTGTGATCACTAACCTTTCTGCAATAGAACTAGTAGACATCAGGCTCTTCGGCAGGATGAAAGTCTACGCCGTTGTCTCCATCTCCGGTGGACCTCCAACGGGCTATAACACGGAGTTCACAACCCATGTCGATATGGAAGGAAACAACAATCCCAAATGGAACACGGTCATGGATTTCAGACTCCATGACCCATCTCTCCGAAACAACCTCCTCTATCTCAATTTCAACTTCCGTTGCCGTCGAACCTTGGGTGACAAATTCATCGGCCAAGTCAGTGTCCCCATCAATCCCCTCCTCGCCATGATATCTGGTAATAGGACCGCTTCTCAGGCTGTCCGGTATCCAGTTACGACGTTGTCTGGGGAGATGCATGGCTTTGTAGACTTCTGTTTCGGATTTGGGAACCCAATTCGTCCATTGGGACCGCAACAAGCGGCTCCGCAGTGGCAGCCACCAGCAGTAGATGTAGCGTCGAAGGCCCAAGTTGAAGTCAACTACTGGCAGAGTTATTATACAAGTGAGCCACAGACACTGCAAAACCAAGTCAATTATGGTAGTAATGCTCAGGCCAGTGATGATCAAGCCAATCAGTTTGATGATGATGATCAGGCCAATGATGATCAAGCCAATCAGTTTGATGATGATGATGGTGATCTGTGAAATCCTGTATTTGTAAGATGTTAATATTTTAGTGAGTGGGTATTATGAAATCCTGTATTGGTAAGATGTTAATATTTTGAAAAATGATTTAGAGCACTAAAAGAAGAGCACTAAAAGGCCATGTTTGTTTGGGCGGACTGGATTAGCATTCCCATGACTAATAGTCCTAGGACTACCAATTGGTTGGATTATGTATCCTATCTTAACTAATAGTCAAGTTTAAAATAATTAATCCGTACTTCAATTGTTTAACCAAACATCGGATTAATAATTTTATTGGACTATTAATCCAATCCCAAGCTCATGTCCATCCAAACAAACATGACCAAAGAGTATTAAATTGTCCTTTTCCTCTTTGTGTTTTGTCTTTTTCCTCTTTTCTTTCTATTTTAATTTTTTTTTAGGCATGCCACGCCATTAGAGCGGCTTTTAGTGGTCTTATTTTAGTGGTCTGTATCATAGTTGTAATATTTTAGTGAGTGGTATTAATGATTCGTTATAATAATAGTAGTAAGCTTTTTAGTTCGAAAATCTTGTTTATTTGTTTATATTTATTTTATCTTTTTATATTATTTTATTATTATTCATCTGTTTTTGAAAATAAATTGGGATATTTATACACAAGTCTTAATTTATAAATTTATATTCCATTAAGTTTTAATTACGATTTTTAAAATTTTTAAGTCTCATTAAATTTTTAATAGTCGAAATTGTCTTTCAAACAATGATTGTTCATCATTTTTGATTATCTATAAAGGAACATGATAATTTGACATTTATTTTGATTTTCAAAATTTTGAAATATTAACTTTCAAATTGAAAAACTAAAAAAAAAAAAATTATGTGAAAGAAAAAAACTAATACTTGAAAAAATTGAATTATTTTTTTTGTAAAACTGAAAATTTTGTGTATATAAAAGAGTATGATGATGGAACATTGATGTGCAAAATTGAAAAAAAAATAAATTAAAAAAGTGATAATATTCTCAGTTTTAAAACAGAAAAAAACTGATAATATTCTTGATTTTATTAGATAGTTAAATCAAACCAATAAGTAGAAGGATAAAAACGTTTAATCTCATATTCTGTTTTTTTTTCATCAATTAGTAAAATAATTATCTGAAACATTACTATGTAAAAATTGATAATATTATTAATTTTACTAAATAAGATTTATTAATTTAAAAAACCTTAAATAAAATCTGTACTATCAGTGGTGTTTGGGAAGTTTGTGTGTTGGGTTTTTTTTTTTTTGATTTTTTCCACTAAAAGACAAACTTTTTGCAAAATCAAAAAAAATAAAATAAATCCAAACAAAATATCATATTCAATTCCATAATCATTTTATTTTTTCTCTCACATCCAACCACAAAAAAATCAATCTTTCCAAATACTAAAAATTTTTTCTCCAATAATATCTTACAACTAAAAAAATTTATATAAAAACTCACTTCCCAAACACTCACATAATATTTATAAATAAATTTTTTAGATAATTAACTCAAATAAATTTGGCCCCATTACCCATAGTTTCCCGCGTCCGGATCCTCTAGGGTGATTCCCTGAAGTGATCCTCTAGAGTGATAATTTATGATGCAACACGTGTCCAATTAATGAAATCAATGGTTGAGATGTTCCCTCTCCAAAACGACGTCGTTTTGGTTTTGAATTTTTTTTTTTTCCCCTTCTTTCCCTTCCACTTCTCGTTTCTCTCTCAAAGGTTGAACCAAACCTATAGAGAGAGAGAGAGAAAAAGAGAAATAGAGAAGGAAGAAGAGAGGAAGAGGAGGAGGAAGATGTTGATGTGATGATGATCCACACCGGAGCTGTTATCACCGACGGGTACAGATCTGCGTTGATGATGATGATGTGTTTGATAGCTTTAACAGAGGGAATTCATTTGGGTCTTCATGAGTTCGAATTTTTATTTCAATTTTAAGCTTCGAAATTGATCTTCGTTTTTTGCTATGTTGGGTTCATATGGTTTCTCTGCAAATCCATCCTATTTCATTTTTCAATTTGTTTTTTATTTTTTATTTCTTGGGTGAATAATGAGTTTGAATTTTCATTTCAATTTTTGAAGCAAACTCTGCAAAAAAACTGCAGAGAAAAGATGGAGGAGCTTTGAAATCGATCTTCGTTTTTTTTGCTATGTTAGTTTAATGGGTTTGATCATCTTTGTAAAATCTCTATATGTCCTTGAAACAAACTCTGCAAAAAAAAATTGCAGAGAAAAGATGGAGGAGCTTTGAAATCGATCTTCGTTTTTTTCGCTATGTTAGTTTAATGGGTTTGATCATCTTTGTCCAATCTCTATATGTCCTTGAAGCAAACACTGCAAAAAAATTGCAGAGAAAAGATGGAGAAGATTGATTCCACTCTATATGTCCTTGAAGCAAACACTTCCAAAAAATTGCAGAGAAAAGGTGGAGAAGATTGATTCCACGGGTCTAGAGAGAAGAAGGAGATTCTCTCTCTAACCCATTCCTTCCTCCTTCCCGATCTGCCAAAAAAAAAAAATCAAAACCAAAACGACGTCATTTTGGAGAGGGAACATCTCAACCATTGATTTTATTAATTGGACACGTGTTGCATCATAAATTATCACTCTAGAGGATCACTTCAGGAAATCACCCTAGAGGATCCGGACGCTAGTTTCCCATCATTTCACATCCATCTTTCAATGGTATTGGCGGACAAAGAGAAATAAATAAATAAATAAATAAAATAATAATAATAACAATAATTGTGCCGACAAGTCATGCCTCCTTGACTTGAATTGGGATCCTCTCCTTCAATCCGCTCCTTGACTCCTTCTTTGTAAGATTTTTGGGACCACTTTTAGGCTTAATTTTGATAATCCGAACCGTTCATATTTTAAGATTTATTCAGTATATCATACCTGTAAAAAATCAAATTGATCGAATATCAGAAAGTATGTGTTCGGAAAACTATTTATTAAAAAATAGTTTATAGTTCGATTTTTCTGAACATATACTTTCTGATATCCGATCAACTTGATTTTTTACAGGTATCGTATGCTGAATAAATATTAAAATATAAACGGTTCAGATTATTAAAATTAGACCTAAAAGTGAATCCGAATGCCTTGCAAGGAGAGATTCAAGGAGAGGATCCTTGACCGTTCCCATCTGCTTTTTCCTTTCTTTTTTTCTAGCATAATACCCGCATGTACGGATATAAATAAATAATTAAAAAAAATTAAAATTAAATAATAATAATTTTTATCAAAGTTATGTATGAATAGAATTTTTATTTTTTATTTGTATGTCATTAATTGTGTAGTTCAAGGTCTTAATAAAAAATATATGTCATAATTTAATTGATAAAAATCAAAGAATACATTGCAAAAATTAATTTTAATTTATCATATGGTAATAGTAAATTATATTTGTCAAAATACTATTTTTTAACGTTTTGTAAAGCTTAAAAATTTGTCTCATCATGCATGAAAATTATAATTTGTCTTATGTCATAACTCTTACATAAAAATATTAGTTGATTCAATATTTACGCTAACTTGACTTTTAACTAATTATTAAAAATTGTCTTGGTTTATACCCAACTTATGAATCGTTTATCATATTTATTTATTAAACTGATAAAGATATTTATAAGTATTTTCTATAATAAAAATAAGAAATATGGATGTATTTTATGCACACTTATTAAAAATTTTGAACTTAACTAAAAAAAATCATATATTTATGTTTAAAACTATTAAATGAATAGTTACACATATTTATGTATAAAAAAATTATCTAAAATAGAGCCGCCCTAAATTATAGGTCATATTCTAACCCTAATCTTATACTTAATCTAAAAAATTGATCAGTTAATTAGTAAAATATTTTATAATAATAATAAATTTAAACTTTATGTTTAAATTATATCATAATTTATCAGGTCGTGACCATATTGGATTAAATACTAAAAAATAGCCTAAAAACAAAAACAAAATAAAAAAAATTTGATGGTAAGGAATATGGGATAAATACTTGTGGTCAGATAGTTATAAAATATACATCTATATTCAACTTTTATATAGTAAAATCCGTACTTTGAATAAATCTCAATCACACATTACTTTTTTAAATCAATTATTCCCCCAAACTATTTGTTATTCTTTTAAGTAATACTTAATATTGGATTAAACCCTAAAAAGTAACCTAAAAACAAAAAATTGATGGTAAGTAACATGGGATAAATACATGTGGTTAGATAGTTATAAAATATACATCTATATTCAACTTTTATATAGTAAAATTCGCATTTTAAATAAATCTCAATCACACATTAATTTTTTAAATCAATTATTCCCCTAAACGAAGTAGTACTCAACTTTTTAAAACTGACAAAAACAATACTTTGGCCGAATTCATCATCATCCTTGCTGCCACCATGCTTACTACCTCCACTACCTACTATGTAACTCTATTCTAGTTTTTGATAGCTGCAAACATAAAAAGTCAAAGTGAAAAATGGAAAAAAGACTTGATTTTAGGTTTTCTTCTTCCATATACGAGTAATATATATATATATATATATATTTTAAATTCATAAATTATGGGATAATATTCATTATTTTAAATTTTTATTTGTTGATGGGCAAACTAATTAAATATATATACTTTTAAATTTTTGTACAAATTAAAAAAAAGAAAAAAACAAAAAAAAAAACTAAACAAAAGTGAAGTGAGTGGCTTAGGATTGTACATATAACGAGGCAATTATTCATATTATTGTAGAGATCGATTTGATCCTATTTTTATGTGACTTTTTGTGTCTAATCCAATTCTAACCTACTCAAATAACTAATTTTTTTATATAATGTAATTTAAATATAAAGTTTAACAAAATAATTACCAAATATTTTTACTATTTGGCCAATCATTTTTTTTTTGGGATAAGTCTTAGGCTAGCTGTCACGCCCCACTTTTTATTACTCGAAAGTATTACCAAATTCATGAACTTAATTCA